TTACATCTCCTTTTTTTAAAATTTATTTTTCTTATATTATTATTATTTATGTATTCCATAAATCTCTAAACATTTCCTTTTAGCACTTAAATTTTCCTTAATGAACAATCCTCAGCAGGTAATCTATTCTCTTTCATTATGTACTACAATTCTACTAAAGCTAGACCTAATTATAACTACATTCTAATAACGAATGCTCTCATCTTGTCCTCAGAAATAGACTATTCTGGCACTGTGATTATACAGGGATTATTCAGCCCTCTTTTATATTAACAGATAAAGTTTTCTAACAGGTTTAATGTTACGGTTCGGGTAGCGATGAAGTTGGTCTTGTTTTGTTCTATTTAGTTCTTTTCGTCGGTCTTGAGTATTTTGATATCATTCTTGTTCAATCAAATCTCTACGATTCCTTCTGTTATATCGACCATCGCTTTCAACTATATACGATCTTGGCGTATTGTCTTTTTCAACTACTGTACTATTGCTGGATTTCCATTGTGTATCTTTTCTCACACAAAATATCTCCACTTTTCAGTGTTTTGAGAGGTTTTTAGCATTTCTGTATGTTTTGCTTGTTTGTAGCGTTTTGCTAATATTTTGTTTGGTTTGTTGGTTTTCGGTCTTGGGAGTTTCTCTGATATTGGCAACTGCGTTTTTGTTCTACAACCCTTTAGTAATAGAACTTAGTAATAGAACTGGGGACGGTACCGTAGCCCATTTCGACGTGGCCAGATTAGGGGCTTTTAGGGCGCCAGCTCCGGGCCCACAGGCCCCAATGTTGGAAAATTTTAATGCATTTTCAGGAAGCTTGGGTAATTTTGGGCAATTTTTGCTGAATCTTAGGTAATTTCGACCCAGTCATTGGGTATATCAAAAATTGTGAGTGATCACGCTGGTATCGAGTAAGCTGCAGTGCGTAGATGAATACTACGGCGTAGGTCAAAGGGCTTTGGTAGTCAAGACAGTGTGAACATTAATAGATTATAATTGTATCCCTATGACTAGACACTGTAGGAAACAGGAGAAACATGTTTTTGAATAAATGGTTTATTTCGTTAAAATTTGTGTTAATCTTGATTTTGCTTTGATTTTTGGTTCTATTATTCATGAGTTAAGTTGCAACAGTGAAGTTAGCAAGTCAGAATTGAGGAAGGTAGGAAAGCTACTCAAAAATTCATGCAAAGCAGAACCTGATTTGAATATTCTCAACAATAATATAATGGTAATTATTATTATAGGCCCAATGCTGCTCATGATTATGGCGGTGGTGTTGGCGCTAACAATGATGACGATAATTATGCCGTTGATAATCAAAAATGCATAACACAATCATTGATAAAAATATATATTCATTCGACTTTATTCATTAGTTGAACGTTTCTATAATAATAATAATAATAATAATAATGAAATAATAATAATAATATTTATTAAGTGCTTTTACACAGATGGTCTCACAACGCTATAAGAAAAAAAGATAGAATAATAAAAGATGCTATATGATTCTAGGCCAATTTTCAGTTAATTACGAAGGCGTATTTTGTAATGAATCAATATCCCAAAAAATTCAAATCAAATGTATTCCCTTCTCTCAAACCCGAGTGGGATACCAGCGGTGGGTATTACCTTGCCGAATTCATTACACACAAATGGAATAGGAGTTTTAGCTACTACAACAGGACGGTGTTTTCCCAAAATGTACACCAATGCGAATTTAACCGCCATCAATGCATAGCGCATGCCCACACAGTTTCTTGGGCCATGCCCAAAAGGGATCCATGCCATCGGATGATTCTTTTCTTTGTTCTCTTTCGTGAATCGATCAGGGTCAAATTTCTCTGGATCGGGCCACACCTTTGAATCGTGGTGAATCGCCCATATCGGAATAATCAAAATCGTGCCCTTCTCGATTGTTAAACCACCTGAACTCCACGTCTCGTTGCATACTCTATCAGTGAAAGGAGCTGGCGGATATTTTCTCATGGTTTCTTGGATTACCTGATCAAGGTAGCATAGTTTGGAAACTATTTCGTAAGTCAAAGTATCGTATTTACCGACATGCTTATCGATCTCTTTATATAATTTCTCTTCGATGTCAGTATGAACTGCCAAGGCTATGTTGTCAGAGACAGAAGAATGCTTGTGGCTTCATATCCAGCCAAGATGAATGTGATAGCTTGTGCCATCAGTTCGTCCGTTGTAAGTGCTCGTTTGGATGGTTGCTCTTGTTGGTTATCGTCAAACTGAGTCACAAGACCGTCGTCCTCTTCTTCCACCTCCATTTTGTGAGCATCTACCATCAAGCTGATGAAATCTATACGGTCAACAGATGGGTTACTTTTCATATCTTTGACGACTTGTTCAGTAATGTCAACAAAAAATCTGATGGGCTCCAATGGCACTATGTCAACCCCAATGGCCTCCAACAGCTTTGATGACCCCGGAAACATCATTACCAACATACACGCCCATACACGCCCTCCTTCGAGGAACGTCTTCATATGCTTGATGAATGGGCTATCTGGATCATTCTGCGAATCTAATTTGAGTCCGAAATGCGTAATAGCCACCATGTCCATCATTGTGCATCCGTAAATTTCCTTTACGTTAGCATCGCTCTTCGAAGCTGCAAGAGCGTCAATCCGATCAGAGAGTACCTGACAGGTGGCATTTATAAGGGGCACCATCATCTTCAGCTTACCAGAACTGAAGGCCGGAGTAACTGTTTCTGATACGCTTCCATTCATTTCCAACTACTCCCGGTAATCCTTTGTCCAGTGGTTTCATATTTATATCAAACACTCGATGGTCGTGGAAGTACGAGAAGTCCTTGATCAGAATTTGACGAAGTTTGTCCAGATCCCCAACTATCAGCTGAGGATTTCGCCCTTCATAGATACCAACAATCGGGCCATATTTTGAAATATATTCGTGATGACTTTGATGCAATCCAAACATTACGAACATTTCGAAACCATTGCCTATAAAAGGGAGTGGCTTAGGTCCTGGTATACCACGCTGTTTCCAGTACGAGTAGTTCCATATGCCGTAAATGTACAGCAGAGTCAATACGAGCGCGATAAGTAGCCATGTCGTTGCTTCCAGCCCGAGAAATTCCATTAAGGATGGTTGTTGAGATCAGGATTTCTTGAATTGAAATAACGGCCTTATAAAGTTTCCTCAGAATAGGCCTACTCAGCTTGTAACTTTCTGCTCTGTGACTATGCAGTGCTTCAATATGCACAATATGGATATTCTTACGACACGCTGCATTCAGATAGCATGACTGACGTTTAACAACACCTCGTATTTATATAAAATCGTCGGAAGAATATCCACGGCCAAACTATCTCCCACTGTACAGACGAGAATGAACTGTAAACATAACACAGTCCAATTGAAGCACGGCTAGATCAATATGCATAGGCCTACAATTGTCAACTTGACACCTGATTCCATATAAGGGCAATATCTCTGATTGGCGACTATGAAGCACACTGTATAAGGTAATATAGAACGATGGACAAAACGACGGTACAGCTCAAAAGTACGATGACTGATAAATACAATAACGACGTAGGCTTAATGACTGGAAATCCGCTATAAAGTATTTTCAAAAAATGATTAAACTATGCTATAAAAAATGAAACATTATTGGGGCTATTTATAATTTTTAATATGCGAAATAATGATGTTTAAGGCCTAGTGCTACATAACCGAAATTCAAGATTGTATATAGGAGGCCTCATTTTTCATTCATTTTCACTGTAATAAGACCTGAAATGGCTTATCAATAACAATCTAAAGTCACAATCACTTATGCACTTAATGATCTCTAGACATCTCAAAGCTCATGCAAAAGATAAGTCATGCTAGAAAGATTTTATCCGAAACTTTACTAAAGTAGCCGGCCCAGACGAAGCAGTTCAGAGATGACTATATCAATATAAATTTCATGGCCAAACTATAGCCCACTGTACATTGCCTTTAAACATGAATTGTAATTCAATGAACTGTAAACATGAAGCAGTCCAAAGCACGGCCAGATCAATGCATACAATTATTGTCAAATTGACACCTGATACCATATAAGAGCATTATATCTCACAAGCTGATTAACGCTCAGAAGTGACTAATGATTACTCGACGTAGGCAATATGTATGGCGAACCCAGTTGTAATTTAATCGTAAATTTCATAATTCATAATCACAAAACAAACTGTGAAACAATACCTCTTACTTTATCATTTGCAAAACTTGCTCCTATCTGTTATATGAAAATTCCATTTCCCTAGGCCTCTTAGTTTGGGTGGACTATTGTAAAAGGCCCGTAGAATCTTTTCATATGTGTCACGAGCTCAAGAGATGTTGACCACCCATTCCTCCGGTTATATAATATAATAAGAATCCCACTGGGTATTTCTGTGAAAAAACAATATTAATGTCCTTCACTAAGGGTTTAAATTTTGATTAAAAGCAACAGGGCCGGCTTGACCATTATACCTGTGTCATGGTGAACTGCATTCAGATAACTTTATGTCTGTCTCTTATACACAAGATGTAAAAAACGAATATATATATATATATATACATATATATGTATATATATATATAACGTATAGACTAGTTAGAAACAACGAAAATGCTGATAATATATTTAAAAAACGAATATAGTGCAGAAAATATATTTAAATATATAAATATACAAAGCATGGCATGGCATTCAGATAACTTTATGCATGTTTTCATGATGTATACCGTAAATGCTCAAATAAGCGCGCGGCGCTTATACGATAATTCGAGATCGGCGCTTATTCGAGCATTTACGGTATTTATTCAATTGTTATAGGCTTACTAAAATCATATCGAATTCTACAAAAACAAAAACAAAAACAAAACAAAAAAACAAAAAACTCACGGATCGTGTTTGAAGTCAGTATATAAATATTATTACACTTCATTAAATTTATTGAAATGATTTAGATATAAAAATGGTAGAATGTATAAATATACAAAGATTTTAAGAACATTAACGGCATTAAACTTGAGTGTTCCTGTGGTCATTTCCACCTAATATCCTGAACGTATTACCACCTGTGTATGTACCAGAGCGTGAAATTTGAAATTCCAGAGAACCGCGTGACATGAATCAGGAGACGGAAATGGTGGACAAGGTGTATTTTACTACACAAAAAAATAACCCACCACAATTTGTTTATAATTATAGGCCCATTGTATATTCGTGATGTGCACTATCAACGAAACTACTAAGGTAGGCCTAAGTATTAAAAGCAAACGTGTAACTTGTAATATTTTGATATTTTTAAGTTCCGTTATCAATAATACGAGTCAGTTTCCATATAGGCGTGCACGGTAGGCCTGTGGTGTAAGTGCATTCGGACGGACGCTGGGGGTTTTTCGACAAGACTTTTTAATGTGTTTTTAAGGTATGCATTTTTTTATATAGTTGTGCGCTTCAGTGCAAAGTAAAATAGACAAAAGCATGTTGGACTAATACATTTTCATATCTTAAAATAGAGAGCTGTTACTTGCTTCAGCCTTATTGTGACAATTTTCACTAAATATTCTGAACGCACCACCTGTGTAGACTTTGCCAAAAATGCCAAAAGAATCACGTGAACTAATGGCGGATTGTACGGTATTCTAGCAGAGAACTCCATAATTTTCTGTAATATAAGGTTTATCCGTGATGTATGCATCAACAAAACTAATAAGGTAAGTGTCAAGGCCAAAAAAAAAAAAAAAAGGAAAAAATATTGCGTCGTAAACGCGATCAAGAATGTAAAAGAAACTCGGTCTATGACGAGTATTCCTGCATAGACAGAAAGTAGGCTTATACTGATCACATAAAAACCAATTTTCGAGTCTCAGTAAGTGCAGTAATTTTTTTTCTTCGCTATGACAAGGCGTACGCAGAGGCGTTGGGAGTGGACGGGTGCGTACGCACCTTAAACCCCCCCCCCCTTCCCACAAATTAGCAAAGGTCCACATTTTCCGGGGTAGAAAATTCAAGACAATCTCACACGTTCCATAACATTCCAACTAGGACTGTCTCTAATTTGTCGTAGGCCTACAAGTTTTAACTGTATTTATAAGCTTTTTGAGGAATTTTGAGTGTTTTATTTCCCTGCCGCTTGCGTGTCAATGCCACGTACAAACTCATCTCTCTCTTTCTATAGGTTTTGAGCCACCGAGTGCCATTTTCGACCATCTAGAGGACGTGTAATAATCATACATTTTCTTTCCCTCAACCAAAATTATGGTGGGGCCTGCTGAGGTGGCCGGGTCTCTATTTCTGTGAAAGTCCCTCCCTGGACAGTATCGATTTTCGCATATTTTGTAGAACTCCCTGAAAGTTTGTCAAAATCGAAAACCCCTTGCTTGGATGATTATGTTCCTTTTTCACAAACTCGATCGCGTTTACGACGACGCAAAAATTCAAGCGGATTCGTAGGAACTACATCATGTTGGGCAAGGCAGACAAATGCGGCCCCTGCCATCCCCCTTTCAAGGCTTGGGCCTACGGACCAAGACATCCTTTAAAATTCGTTCCCCTCCCACTTTCAACCACGGATTGACGTCCTCGGTTACTCCAAACAATACGAGTTAGTTTCTTTGTAGTGTGTTTGCATGGTGGGATCGAAATAAACTCGGACTGAGCTAGGCAATTTTGACAAGAACGATTGTAATTGTAGAACATCATTAACATTATAGAACATTTATTAACTACTAGTATCTACAGGAGTCTTGAAATGAGGGGATAATTGGAAGTATACTACCCAGTGGCGGTGGCAGGGAGCTTAAGCCCCCGCACCGGACAGGTCAAGCCCCCCGCCGGACAGTCAGACCATAAAACATAAAAATAGGCCCACGTCAGGTCTGTCACAGTCTGAGAGTGCCATTTTCGGCCATCTAGAGGTTGATATTTAAAAAATCTCATTTGTGAGGGGGGGGACCCCCCTCTCAACCCCTTCTCCCAGCTCTAGCCCACGAGCTCAAGTCCTCCCTGTCGGACAACTTAGCGCCCCCCCCCCCTCCAGAAAATATATCCTAGAGCCGCCACTGCTACCCACGAAGATGTGGTGGGTGCTTGATGATTGGGTGCTAGCTCGCAAAATAGGTGATTTAAGGTAGATAATTTTCAACCGCTTGGTGCAATTTTTTGTTTTGAACATTTTTGAATTGGGGGGGGGGGCGAATATTTTTTGGTGGGAACACATTCCCCATAGATATGCCAATTATAATATTATAATTATAACGATTATCTTTTCCGCCGCACCACCATTCGTAATGTCCTTATATATTTTTTTTTCATTCAAAAATTGCCTCTTGAATTTAATAAGTTCCCATAAGAACCCCTCGATTTTCATCTATTTCAATAATTCAATTTAGCACTATTGTAAGAAAGATTGTTTTAACATAGATTAAAAAAAGTATAAGGTAAACCCCTAAGAAACTCCATGTGTATAGGTTTAGTGTGGATGTAAAAGATTCAATAGAGACAAATTTTATAAATAGCTATGAAACCAATCTTGTGCAACACCCCTTATAACATATCTAAATAGTTTTCTTAACAGGATCAAAATCAAATGCTTTTGATAAGTCTAAAAAGATACTAAGTAGGAATTTCTTGCCAGTTATATTTTCTAATAGTTCAATTATGGCGTGACAAGTAGAATTATTTTATCGCCCTTTTTCAAAACGGGAATTACTTTAGCGATGATTAGTTGATGAGGTATAATTCCAGAGGAAAGGGTAGTGTTTATGTCAATGTAGAAATAATTAATTGTAAAGTGGATTAGATAACACGGGTAGATATCTGATCATGACCTGTGTAATATTCTGCCTTTTTATTGACACACAGTCGTGCTGAATACTAATAATACACACAGTTACAAATCCACACAGGACACCTTGTTAACATGGCTTCCAGAACACATGGACAGAATTTAATGTGTATTTCGTTATCCAGCCGTTTTGCTAGGCTACTACAAAGACGTTTGTTTGTGTTAATATATTACAACCTGGACGTTTATTGGTTTCAGATTAGAAAATAACAGTTAGAATTTCAGATTCAGAACGGGTAATAACAGAGGATTAATGCTGTTAGTATCAAATGAGCTATTTACTTTGGAGCTTATAGAATAAAAGTGGTCATCGAAGAAATTACAAAATATATTGAGTATTTGAGATTAAGCTGTTATCAACAGGAAGGTTGGTTATTATTTCTTTCATGTTTTATATCAAATTTTTAATTTTCCATACGTTTTAAAAAGTTACCTTTGATATTTTCAAATTTAGTAATAATTTATCTTAGCTGCTCGGCATAGTTTAACGAATACATTTTTATTTTTAGAACTTAATTTTATCTTTTTGATGATAGATACTTTGTACTTTGTACATTTTAACCGAGACATACCAGAGTAGGCCTACAATATGTGTAGTTATTTTTATATCGATTAAGGTGGAGGAATCTTCGGTTATACGCGTTGGCTTAGATATAAATGGAAAATAAGAATGGGATAACATCATATCAAGAAAATTGTTGGCTGCAATGTTGGTGTGAATTTTAAGTAAATTTAAATTTAAGTCACCCATTTGTTTCTTTTTTCAATATTTGTGGTCGACAAAACTTCATCCATCGCATTAGAAAAGGACTAGATAAAACATGGTCGTGGTCTATACAACATTTTAATAATGGTGTTTATTTTAGATTGATTTAGTACTTCAGTAGACAGATTCCCAGTTATCATTATCATCGTTGATAGTAAGATCAGAAAGAAGTTTGATATTTAACCCACTATTAACAAATCAACAGACACCACCAGAACTAAATTAGTCAGTACTTAGTGAATAGACAATTTTCGAGAAATAGGAAGGGTTTAATTTCGTTAAGCCATGTTTCTGATATTCCGATAATTGAAAATATATTTTTTTTATTAAATCTAATAATGTAGTAAGATCGTCAAGTGTATTGCAAATATCGGTACTCCTTGCTTTAGGGTGAAGAAAAATTATATTGCATAAGAAAACTATATGATTAATTAAATTGGTCGGTATCAGAATAAGTAAAATTATCATGTTTAGTTAAGGGAGAGTCGATTAAATGATTAGATTCCTCATCAAATTTGTTATAAATAACAGGATATCTGACAGTAGATTTAACTTTTCGTTTGAGTGATTGCAATCCATTATGAAGGAACTTAATTAGGAAAATGCTGATAATTCCAATTCCAAAGTACGTCGTTAGTTTTAATCAAAGAGAGTATAATTACAAATATATTAAAAAATAAAAAAAGAAAGAAAATTAAAAAGTAACGTGAGGGGAAAAACCTTATATATTAAATCGAACTAAATACAATTTCTTTGTTTCACTCAACAGGCAAAATATTGATGAAGTATAACCAAATTTTATCCCAATTTGCTCACGTAAATATGAATCCGTAAAAAGTGTTGGCATTCATTGTCAGTCTTGGCCCAGCCATCTTACCTTTGAACCAGACGCAAGTAAAAGAAGGTAGGCAATCAGGTTTTTACAGATAATCTAGCATGTATTAATATATCATAGTTCCATAGGATATCAGTATCGATATGACAGATCTGCAGAACATGCCAAAGACATACCTTGGGTTTTAAAATCTTAGGACTGGTGGAAGATTAAAATTAACTTGGACCAGTCTACCATAACTAATGTCAACACTTTGTTCATTATTTCACGTAATATGGCAATTATTATGTTTAGTGTTGCCATTATTTCAATTAAGTCATGATAGAAATGACAGCGATAATAGTGATAACACCATAGTGCATCGATCATAAAATTTAGCTCGGCCACCGACCGCTTGGTGCGTTTATACATTTTCCCATTGAAGGGAAAATAATTCCTTCAAGGTATATTTAACAGGGTGTCCGTGGACTTAAAAAGTAATGCTATTTTTACTTTAGATATCTATGGACAGTGATTCCATTTCAACTGGACCTGCCAAGCCATTGCATTAAGGTACGTCAGCTCCCAAAACAGGCGTGTAAGTAAAGTGAAGTGCATAAAACACGTATGTCATCACTTCAGCCTTCATTACTGTTATATACAATTACATAGTGACATCCATTAGGGGTGCAAAGTAACGTATGTTATATGAAATGATAAAGAACATAATATTATTAATTAAAAATTAATACTGAAATGTGTTTTCTTTAGCATTGTTTTTATCATACTTTCTCCAGAATCGATTAAACGTCATCAGGGTCCTGATTGGCCTGGTAATTCAAAACAAGAACAAACGTCACTTCGGCATTAATTATTTACAATGCAATTGGAACGGTATAGTAACCGAAGATGAAAAACTGAATTTAAATATGTATTGTAAACTAGGATAATATGGTATAATGTAATATTTAAAATGCATTTACTTAATAAATGCCGTCGGAAGTGGTCCGGTTATGGCCGGACCAATAATTTATAACTCAATTCCGATTTTGCTAAATCAACCATTCCTGTCCTAAGCAAAGCAGCAATGACAATTGATTAAAAAGCTCCCTTTGTATCTTGATTATACTGGTAATTGAAAATGCTACCACTGAAAATATTAAAGATGCTAAGTGTATCGGTTATGTGAGTGGCTGCTGCTCCGGACTGATTTGTTCCGGACATTGGCATATTCTAAACGTTTTGCATGGTTTTTATTATTGTTGTTGTTGTTGTTGTTGCTGCTGCTGTTGCTGCTGCTGCTGCTGTTGCCAACTTACTACACACATCTAACTAACCTTACCTACACATCTTCAAACTAATTACCAGTCAATTAGGGTTTGGTAAAAGGATATCTAAACTATATATCTGATTGGTGACAAAATATTTTATACATTTATTTATCTTTCTTAGTATCAAACTAAACAAATAACTATTTAATTTATATTTTGTAGACTATTAAAGACGGCTGTGTTTTTTTTCAAGTTCATCTTCTGGTAATTTTTTTGACTGCACCTTTAATAAAAGTAAGAATTTACTGAATAATTATTAGTGAATAATGAGTGTAAAATTATTTTCTTAAGATTAAGAACATAATTAGGAAAAAAGTAAATGGTAAGACACCTAAAATGTCGGTGCTACGATTGGTCCTTACTCAAGATAGTAGGCCTTTATCAATTTTTAGTATATTTCGCTTAAGGAGATCCTATGGATGTAATTTATCATGTGAATTGACCATATACCGAAAACATGTTGAAATATGAAATTAACATGGTAATTCTGCATTATATCCATCCAGCAAAGAAAATAACAATTGGAAGGGAGCCTTATACCCACCAAGCATTTAAAAGCTAGTAATCAACCAATCACAAAACACAATCATGCATATTTAATTCATGGCTGGTGAATGCACAAGTACTAAATTTACGATTTCCCGATTTGTTTACTTCATTCGTAATGCTTCACTTGTGGGCATATTCTATTTACTTTCAAGATCCTTGACTGATTTTTCAAGTTTGGTAAGTCGTTATTGTATGCTTTTTTATTTTCCTTATCCATTTAACTGCTCAGACAGCCTGCTTAGTTGCTCGGCTATTCGTGTTTCCCGCTTTCCGTCGATGTCTTGAATTGAAATATTGGGGTAGTAGCTTATACTAATAGGCCGGCTCTTAGATTAATTTCCCTGTTTCTTTTTTTGGTTCCAGTACTGTAAAGCAATAGGAACATTTGAAATGGCATGGATGTTCGTCTGTACGTCTCTGACGCTGATGTCATCAAATTTGTTGAAAAAATATAATAAGACAAAGTTTAATTTCCAAACTCCTGTTGGTTATGAATTTTTACGTAAAACATTATTTATAAATAATTGAAATGCCAAAAGTCATTATATATAAATAATGATTTTACTCTAGTCATTATTTATAAACTATTGTTTTAACATCGTATTAAATAAGGAAAATCGCTCCAACAATTATGTATACATAATTGTTGGAAGCAAAAAATAATTGTGTATACCGGTATAATGAAAAATGTTGATGTAGTCTATGATTATTTTGTTTCTAATAAATTTCTCACTCAGTTTCAATCATGATTTACACCAGATGATTCTACCACATACCAGCTTCACCTTACAGAGACATTTCTCTGTGTGATGTTTATCTTCTTAGCTATATCTAAGGCTTTCGACAAGGTGTGGCATAATGGTATTATTCATAAACTAAACCAATATGTCATAAATGGTACATTACGTGAGTGATTCTGTAGCTACCTTATCCAACTTCAACAACACGTGATTATTGATTATTGAGGGAACTGCCAGTCCTTGGACTCACCTTTCAGCAGGAGTACCGCATGGTTCTGTTTTAGGCCCTTGTTTATTTTTTTTTTATTGACGACGTCGTGGTGATTATTGAATGTAATATATGCGGACGATACTTCACATTGATATTTGTATTGCAATTCTTTCTGAGCAAAAAATGTTAAAATACATGCCTGCGCATCAAAATGGAAAGTCTGTAATTGATAAATCAACGATATCATGATGTGTATAAGAGACAGATATTTAACAGGGTGTCCGTGGACTTAAAAAGTAATGCTATTTTTACTTTAGATATCTATGGACAGTGATTCCATTTCAACTGGACCTGCCAAGCCATTGCATTAAGGTACGTCAGCTCCCAAAACAGGCGTGTAAGTAAAGTGAAGTGCATAAAACACGTATGTCATCACTTCAGCCTTCATTACTGTTATATACAATTACATAGTGACATCCATTAGGGGTGCAAAGTAACGTATGTTATATGAAATGATAAAGAACATAATATTATTAATTAAAAATTAATACTGAAATGTGTTTTCTTTAGCATTGTTTTTATCATACTTTCTCCAGAATCGATTAAACGTCATCAGGGTCCTGATTGGCCTGGTAATTCAAAACAAGAACAAACGTCACTTCGGCATTAATTATTTACAATGCAATTGGAACGGTATAGTAACCGAAGATGAAAAACTGAATTTAAATATGTATTGTAAACTAGGATAATATGGTATAATGTAATATTTAAAATGCATTTACTTAATAAATGCCGTCGGAAGTGGTCCGGTTATGGCCGGACCAATAATTTATAACTCAATTCCGATTTTGCTAAATCAACCATTCCTGTCCTAAGCAAAGCAGCAATGACAATTGATTAAAAAGCTCCCTTTGTATCTTGATTATACTGGTAATTGAAAATGCTACCACTGAAAATATTAAAGATGCTAAGTGTATCGGTTATGTGAGTGGCTGCTGCTCCGGACTGATTTGTTCCGGACATTGGCATATTCTAAACGTTTTGCGTTGTTTTTATTATTGTTGTTGTTG